TGGCTACTCCAACTAACGCAAACCCAAAATGCCCCTTTTCAGGAAATCTTTATGGATGTATTTTCAATTGAATCTATTTATTACCTCACCTTAGTTGACGCATTTAGCAAATTAGGTCAAGCCATAGAAATTACAAATAGATCAGCCCCGGAAATCGTAAGAGCGTTAATCAAATATTTCTCTATATATGGAACACCTAAGAGAATCACATCCGACCCGGGTAGTGAATTTAATAATGACCTTCTAAAAGAACTTTTAGCTATGTACAACATACAATTACACATTAGCACTCCTAATAACCCCAATTCCACAGGTATAATTGAAAGATTCCACTCTACAATTATAGAGATATATAGGTTGGCAAAATACGAACGAAAGTGTACAGATGCAGCAACTGTAATGTCTTACTCCATCATGGCTTATAATCTCACCTATACACACTGCAACCGGTCTGACTCCTTTCGACGTAGTTTTTGGTCATACCGATTCGAATTCAACATTTACAGCGAATTTTGAAAAGAATTATACACAAATTAATTAAAGATCACGCCAAACGCATTAGATATTTATATGACTATATATCAGATAAAATGTTACAAGATAAGAAAAAAAATAGAGAACAAAAGGGCGGAGAGTCAGATAAAAGTTTTAAAATAGGTGATATCATATACGCGAAAGAATGTAATACTAGAAAAAGTAAGGATAAGCCGCGATATAGAAAAGCCGTTGTCATTGGTAAAATAGAACGAAACATAGTCCCAGTTAGAATTGGTAGTAGGAATACGACAGTACCGATTAAAAACATTAAACGCCCTCCACAGGTGGTGTCTGATGATGATTCTGATGATAGACCGACAAACACGGGCCCTTCAACTTCAAAAACTTGAAAGGAACCCTGGGATCCTGCCCGTCAAGCAAGGTCATGCTTCCATGCAAACAGACAAGTGGGTTATAATTAAAACATTTAATTTAAAACATTTAGAAACAGACTTAGAATTTTGTGTAACGAAATACAAAGAGTTTACGTCATTGATTGATATTAATAAACCTTATATTTATGAATTTCTCGGTATCCGTACACAAGTAGGGTATCTAAAGGATGCAACTATTGAAAAATTTCGGCAAATAGTACCTTCAAAAAGATTCAAAAGAGGCATTATTAACCCTCTCGGTTCTATGATAAAAATTATTACCGGAAATTTAGACCATGACGATGCAATCCGATATGACTCTTTGATTTCTAAACTGCAAGATAATCAGTTAGTGACAGAAACGAAATTTACATTAGTCTCAAAAGTTGTGAATAATTTAATAAATAGTACAGAAACCTTACATAACAATACCTTAATATTAGATGAACGGTTAAAAAGAATTGAAAGAATTGTTAAAAATATGGTCACTAAAGAGGAAAATTCAATTTATTCAACTTATATATTAGGAATGTTCAATATGTTTTCCCATAACTTTAGAACTATCAATTTAATAATCTGAGAAACTGAAACTGCACTAGCATTTAGTAAGGTCTCTGTCCTGCATCAATCAATTGTTAACTCTACAGAACTGTTAAAATTATTATTCGAAATTGCGGAAACTGAAAATTTGTTATACACTGTAAATGAAAAGAACTTAGTTAAGTTGGAAAATTGTATCAAAGTTAAAGCTTTTGTCAAAGAAAACCAGATCACGTTTATACTCGAGGTCCCTTTAGTGGATAATAAGATTTATAATTATTTCAAAATTTATTCCTTGCCGGTTCACGTTAGAAACCAAACTGTAATCGTTATCCCTAAATACCTATTCCTCCTGGTGAAAGATAAGGAGTACTTACCAGTTCTGAGAGCCTGCTAGCAGATTGCAGTAGATGACCATTACCTGTTACAACGACGACGTGCCACCCCATACGGAACAAAGCTGCGTCAAACAACTCATGGAGTTTCAACAAAATCCTGATGCATGTGAACAACATGCTATTGAAATCGAAAATATCAAAACCCAACGTATAACCCTTGGAAGCTGGATACTTTATGTGAAAAATCACACTCTACTTAATAGAAAATGCGGCAATGACGCCACTCACGAGTCTTTACATGGTACTTATATTATCACCATGAATGATGCTTGTGAAACCGAGATCGGAAAAATCCATTTCAAGTATCACCAATCTTCGGCGGAAAACCTAAATTATCGACTGTACCCAATAACCAACTTAACAGAGTTGAAAGTTATAAAGCCTATCAGTGTCAATGTAGCGAGCCTAAAAGGTATAAGTTTAGATGAAACAAAACAGTTGAACCAATTAGTGAAACTCAACAAAGTCAATTTCAGTGAAAGTACCAGTGCTATTAACGTTAAAAGTGTTAGTTTAGGAACTATATTATTATATGCTATTATGTTAACTATTTTTATTTAAAAGTCTCTTACACCTCAAAATTAATTGAGGGCGAGAAAATTTTCTGTGCAAAGCTGTGATAGACTTCGATGGCATTTAATAATGAAGCCCCATCCCGCGCCACATTACAATCGATTTAGTGAGTTTAAGCGTGGGCGTAGCAATCGCAGTGATGGTTTGCGTAAGGACATTCAATGTGCTGGTCGACGCATCATAGAGGAAGATAAGAGAGTATTAGCCGATCGAGCAAGCTTAGGCATATGAGTCAAGTACAAAATTATTGCATGATCATTCAGGCGTCAGAAGGCTTTATACCAGATGGATTCTCGTCGGGTATAAAGCCTCCTGACCAGAAACGCCTTCTCATGGATTAGTGTTGCGAAATGTTAGAAAAGGTCAACGGAGGTGACTTTAATGCTGTCTATTTATAATAAAGATTGTTTTATAATATTATTATAAAAAGTCTTTCAAAATAGTTCCCCCCGGTTAATGTGAGAGTAACCTTTATCATTTTGAACTATTTTGTTTAAGACAACCGTTGACTTTACGCTATGATGGCTGTCATGTATTGAATCCAACAAAAAATGCTTGGTCGCACTAAATTGCGTTTAATGGCTTTGACGTATGCAATTACAGAAGTTCATTTGTAAGGGCATTATGATGATAAATAATTAAAAACAAATTAATCTAACAATAAACTACCGCTTAGCGTTATGATAAAAACACACAGAATTCATAACGATATCAAACGAATTTCGAATTAAGTATATTGAAGACAATTTATCTAGGAATGTATACAAAATTTGTTACGTGATAATTGAAAAGAATTGAATCTTTTTAACAGCAAACAATTAAAGTATGGTAAGTAAAGCGTTCAAAAGTTTGCAGCAAGCAGAATGAATCATTCAGGACTTATCGGACTGTAAAGATCCAACAGCGGCATAAAATGGCAGAATTTACTTAGTTAAAGTTTGACATAGGTAACTGAGATATCTCGAGTGGAATTAAAATGTTTATTTAGTGTAATATTTTGGTATTTTGAGTGTCCACGAACAGCGATCCTCACTTAACATCAGGTCAAGCGCTTGTTCTGTTTTATTCTATTTCAAATTATGAATATAAAAATTGCATCCTAGATTAATACTTGTAGATTTTTTTTAATTCATTTAAGACATAACAAAACAATGCTTTACTTATAATCAATGGGTTTTCGTAGAACCAAACTATTTAAGCTTAGTATATTAAAAAAGTTGCTATGCCTATTGATTGCATTTTTAAGAGAAATTTTGAATTCTTCACGCCAATTTTTTGAATGTTGATTTCAAGCAGGTCTGCGAAGAGACACGCTGATTGCTGATCATTTTGAAAAGTGTGTCAAATTTTATTCATTGCTCTTTTGTACTATTACGGTGGTAGGGCCGCGCAGCAGCCCCGGCTGTTGCACGAATGGGCAGGCTCGTCCGGGTAAGTACCACGACCTCACAGAAGACCGGCGTAAAGTGGATGTATAATACTTTCGCGTTTCGTCTGGTGAGTGAAGTGGCCGGAGCCCTATTATCAAAGGGTTGTCAATGCATCTGGAACCCTCGGGTGTAGCAGATGTTCAAGGGCGGCGGTATTCACTTAACATCAGGTGAACCGTCAGCTCGCTTGGCAACTTTTCACATAAAAAAAAGAATTAAAAGTAAGCGCCCGGATATTATGCTATCAGGCTCTTCAATACACACGAGCAAGCAGAATTCAAATCCCTATGTTGTTTAATAAATTTGTTGAAGACTCGGTGGCCACGCTGCTAAGTTGGCTTCGGCGTCGGGGGTCTTGGGTTCGATTCCCACACGGGGCAAGTATTTGTGTGACCCGCACATAATTGTTCCGAGTCTGGGTGTTTGTTTCCCAAGAAGGGTTGATGTCAGACAAGCGGCCGGTCTTAAAAAACGTGGCTCAAACCGTTTGCAACATGATTCACCTGGTGTGACCAACCCACTGAGGTGAATACAGTTGTTGATGAAAATAATTCAGGACATATTTTTAAACAACCTTATCTATTCCCAAAATAAGCAAAGCTTGTACTATGGATACTAGGTAATTTTATTTTATCAACATTACCTCATGATCGTTTAAGCCAAAAGTCTAATTTGTTTTTAATAGGATATGTTTCATTGGTTTAAAATAATTTCAAAGCAAGCTGCGTATATTATAATTGCTGATAAAATCTCACTGTTAATAATATTTAATTAAAACCGTTGTATGGAAGTTTTGACGTAAAAGAGAAAAATATACGGTTTATATTTTTCTCATTTTGTCATTATGTTATATTGTTTATTAAAAACGTTTTTGCAGCTTTATAAATATAATACAAAATTATTACTCTTTAATGGCACAGTAATTAAATCGAACATTATTTTTTTTACACAGTTTGTATATGAAGAAAAAACGACATCTGTCGACCATGTATGTTTCTTTGTCCTGTCAAAATCGGGTCGAGCGGGAAAAGGATTAAGTGACATGCGTCAAATAAAAACTAATCGAAATAGTTGTATTTAAATCAGTCAGTATATTTTTAAGGTTTATTGTAGTGAAAGAACATTGGTAAAATTGTAATTGAGAATTATGTGGGGTCAGTGTAGTGTTGGCAGGTCCCGTTGCAATTGGAAGGCATCTCGCTGAGGCGCATTTCACTGATCCAATTCTTGCACACGTTTGTGACCCCTATCTCCCGTTTAGTCACGGTAAAAGTTGCTGTACAAAAAACGTAGATAAATAAAGATAAATATTATATAATAAATTGTCTAAATATAAATCGTTTTAAGCACTTAAGGAACTTTTCTTAACAACACTCCACATGTCCTGTATAATTTTATTATATCCTATAATTATATACTTGTCAAGCATATAATCAAAGATTATGTCATTAATTTTTACATATATTTATATGCTTAGTAAATTTTTTGTCAAGGGCAATTCAGTTGTTTAAGTGACATAAGATTTATTCTATCTCCATGCCAAAACTGAACGATTTGATAAATTTCCATAATAGAAAACATTTTGGAAAGTACTCTTCGAAATGAAATACACAATTTTTTTTAAACACATTTTTACACAACCTTTTCTAGTCCCAAACATAGCAACGCTTGTACTATGGGTACTAGAAAAGTGATAAACATACTTAAATAAATATATATATATATATATATATAAATACCCAGATACTAGAAAAACACTATGTTATTCACACAATATTTTTCTAGTAGTGGGGATCGAACCCACACCCTCTGGCGCAGGAGGCAGGTACACTTCTCACAACGCCATTCGGGTCGTCATTGAATTGTCATGTAATAAATGTGACATGTGATTTATACCTGGAAATAAGTCAAGTGGACAATCCCATCTCTAGTCGAATCCATCAGCCCTTTAGATGCGAAGTTGCACGAATGGGCAGCTCCAAATCCATCAGCCCTTTAGATGCGAAGTTGCACGAATGGGCAGCTCCGTCCGGGTGAGTACCACGACCTCACAGCGTCAAGTGGAAGTGTCATACTTCTGCGTTTCGTCTGTTGAGTGAGGCGGCCGGGGCCGATTTTATTAAATGGCGGCAACGCATTCGCAACCCTACGGGTCTTGCAAATGTCTATGGGCGGCGGGTATCACAGCATCAGGTGGACCATCAGCTCGCTCGCCACCGTCTCACATAACAAAAATCCAAAGCATACCGGTTTTTGCGTATCGCACCCTGCTGCGGCTGCTTCACGGGTGGTTCCTCGACAGCCCTCCGGGGGCGAGGGTACTTGAGGTCAAGGCCGTGCACACCGAAAGTGGACATCACCAACGCGAATATCAGAAACAACAACTAGAATATAATACATAGCCAAATGCACTTTCTAAACAGTAATATAAATCACCGATTCAGTAACAATTAATGAAGAGGACCGGTTGAACTCTTTAAATTCTTTTCACCTCACGGTGGTAGGGCCGCGCAGCAGCCTCAGCTGTTGCACGAATGGGCAGGCTCGTCCGGGTAAGTACTTTCGCGTTTCGTCTGGTGAGCGAGGTGGCCGGAGCCCAATTTTCAAAGGTTGTCAACGCATTTGGAACCCTCGGGTGTAGCAGATGTCCATGGGCGGCGGTATTCACTTAACATCAGGTGAACCGTCAGCTCGCTTGGCAACTTTTCACATAAAATAAAAAAAAAGCGTAGAATTGGGCGCGTTAGATGATTTATTACTCACTTCATTGAAAATACTGTCAGAAATATACGACCTGTTGAAAGACGATGAAAATATTATACGAGGATTTTCTCGCACTTTTACGAATCTAAAACAGTTTCTTATCACACCGTTTTACATTCTGTTCTGTATCCATTCTTGAAACGCAAAATACGCAAAATTTGTTCTAAAGTAAAAAGTACATGAAATATTGATTTAAAAAATGATTAACAACTCGTTAACTGTGTAGGTAGGTTATAGTCGTAATGTATAAGCCAAAATCATTATATCATTATCATTATTAATCTCTCTATATATTAATACGTAAAACAATACCTTTGTACCCCTTTTTACGAAAAATGCGCGGACGGCGGAGTATGAAATTTCCCATACTTATAGTTTTATAGAGAAGAAGTGCTGAATGCTAATATTTTTTAAAATTGTGTAGAAAAAATACATTATATCAATAAAAAAAGAACTTTACACTCTATCATGTATAATTAATTATGATCAAATTTCCACCACTAGGCGACCACTAGTTTTAATAATTATACTTTATTATCGCATTAACTTACAGTGAACCGCATGTTTCCAGCTCGTGCTCTGGTAAAGACAGAGAATCAAAGTGCTAAATAAACGGTCTCGTTAATGTTTTTTCTATGCGGTAGAGAGACCATAAGCTATGAAATTCTCAGACTGGTATTCGTATTATAATTTTTTTTATATTTGAAAAGTTGCCAAGCGAGCCGACGGTTCACCTGATGTTAAGTGAATACCGCCGCCCATGGACATCTGCTACACCCTAGGGTTCCAGATGCGTTGGCAACCTTTTGAATATTGGGCTCCGGCCGCCTCACTCACCAGACGAAACGCGAAAGTGTTATACTTCCACTTTACGCCGGTCTTCTACGAGGTCGTGGTACTAACCCGGACGAGCCTGCCCACTCGTGCAACAGCCGAGGCTGCTGCGTGGCCCTACCACCATTAAATAGTATAGTTATTAGATACAGATAGAATAAAGTATAGTTTAGTTCTTAGCTTTATTTAAGAAATGTTATTTATATTGCAGAAAAAACAATGTTCAAGTTAAAGAATGACCAATAGAATGTTCACTAGATTAGAAAAGTGTTAATGTTTAAACGCTTACAATCCTTTTAGCATTGCTTTTGACGTTGTAAATGTTCATTCAGTTCGGAGATGTCCTGATAAATTGGTCAATACAGGTCATGGCAACAACACCTCTAATTGTGTGATGGGCATTAGTACTCGCTTAAAATTATCAAGCCTTTCCCTCAGTTGCTACCAAAGTAGTAAAAGTAAAGTAGTCAACAATTCGCAAACAACACAAAATGTTATGACAACGCAAAATGCTTGGCCACTCTAAATCACGTTTGCATCCTGTGACGCTTGCTTACCTCAGAACCTCAGTTGGTAGCGCATTACGACGTTTAATAATTAGAGAATAAATTAATCAAACAATTAACTAGCACTTAGCGTTATGATCAAGCACATTATCTTCGTGACGATATCAAATAAATTTCGAATTAAACATATCGGATTCCTTGGTAGTGCGGGAGTGGCTAAGCTTTGGTCATGGGTTCGATGACCCAGATTATTGTTCCAAATCTGGGTATTTGTTTCCAAGGAGGGTTGTAGTCAGGCAGGCTGCCGTTGTTATAAAACCTAACCAAACCTAGCCACAATACCACATACGACATGATTCACATGATTTGCCGATACCATTTAGGTGGGATGAGTGCAAGGGAAAGAGGAAGAAGATGTATGTATAGAAAATCGTTCCATCTAAACAAGCATATTTTTTAATCAAAAATGAAACCGACTTCAAATATCTAGGGATGGAGAGAGTGGTGGGGGGGGGGGGGGGGGGGGGGGGAGGGGGATTAGTAGTAGTTAGCCACACCATCGCAAACTAGCTACCTTGCAGCTGCTTTGACCTTACACTCTTAAGTTCAGATTTGAGGAAATCTGTACTCTAAATTTCCGAAGGACACTTTAAGAAAAGTTGGAGCCAAGGGCTCCTCTTTGCGGTGATAAGAACCGCCTGATTCTTGTTCACATAGAATCTCACAAAATTGGTGTCGCCTCATTTAGAGGCTGCCTGTCGTTGGAGATTCAAATGCTCTGTCGTTGCCTCCTTTCTGGCCACAATTTACCTTTTCTCTACTACTCTACACCCAAAAAATTTCTCTACTGAAATAAGGATGCTTTGTAATTTCAATAGCCTCGCGAATCATCCTTGGGAGGACTTCATGTTATTTTGCAAGTATCTCAAACCTGAATTAGTGATTGTGGCGATTTAGGACTTGTTTTTAATCTATAATGATTTATGTCAGCTAGCTAATGTTCCTCCATGTGAGTTTTATTACTTTTGAAGTAAAACTTCTTTAGGCGCGACTAGGGAGTAACTCAGATTTTTTCTGACGGAAGAAACGTCATAAGTATATGGCATATTTTTAAAATATGACATATACTTATGACGTTACTAAATATTTAATCATTTCAGTGATATATGCCGTCAACGCCAAAGAAGTTTTACTTCAATCGCGCGTAAAGGTTACACGTACACACTTTTTTTTTGGTTTGACCTATGTATGAGAGACCTATATTTATAATTGTGGACACTAAAATAAAGCCGTGATAGCTCAGTGTCCGGGCGCTCGCTTTTAATTCAATATACTCAAGCAACCTGAGTTCGATCCCCGGTGTCGGCACGAATGAAATTGTTAGTTTTAAGTGCTGAATAATCACGTGCTCAGCGGTGAAGGAGAACATCGTGAGGAAACCTGAATATTTTCGAAATAATAATTAAAAAATATTTCGAAGATATGTGAAGTCCGCCAACCCGCAGTGGTGCCGCGTGGTGGACTATGCCCTGATACCCTCTGTCTAGAGGAGGCTTTTGCCCAGCAGTGGGACATGAATAGGCTGATACTTTACTTTTTTTTACACTAAAATTAAGCAAACGTAGTGTGGGACGGCCTGCAGCACTGCAGCACTACGAAAGATGACGGCCAGGCCAGAACTTGGATAGTTGGCGCACTTTGTTGCTATATGTAACCCTCCCCGGGTTACATATAGCAGTGGATGATGTTAGGCTGATGTTGTTGTTGTATAAGAGCAACATTTACAGTCAAGATTCCTACTGGATATTGCAGAGGGATATTGCACTTGACAGAACTTAAAAACTAACTAACTTCGGCGGCTTGTAGAATGTATAAATCGAAGCCTACCATATGATAAAAGAGTAGCCTACGGCGTCTCATACATACAGACACCTATATTGAGACTCTCAAGGCTCACCACTATCAATATGATTTAGCTACCGTGGGTAAATCTTCGTGTTAAAGAGCATAAGAGATTTATGACAAGGAACAACTGATCTTGTTCGCCAGCTACAACATGTCATCCAAGTTCTGCATGACAACTAGCTTCGAGCACCGCGCCTGCTACACAGTGACCGAGTGAAACCAGTAACAGTAAATCGTATACCTGCCTTTTGAAACAACGAAAAATCCTAATGTCCATAGAGAAAGTGGTCCAAACTATCTTCTCTATTGGCATTACGATGTTTTTAAACAATATATTGTCATCAACTTGGGATCGTGTTAAATTACGTCCGATACTGCTTTACCTCAAGATACCATATGGTGCTTTTGACGGGTTAACTCTAACATTATGACGTGAAAAATCAGCCTGTCCCATGAAATAAAAGCCGTAAAGTGTTAAACGGTCTGGAATTTAAAATGAAAATAAAACGTGAAAAAATATGGAAAATAGTTTTATTTCAACAATGTCCTTTAATATACATCTGTTAGGTTATTGAATTGGTTAATTGCTAATCCCGATGCAACGGGGAGGCACCTCAGGAGTATGCAGTTTGAAGATCCTGTTCCCCGCAACAGTACTCTCCCCTCTTAACTCCAAGTTAGTAAGGGGCGGACCGGATTTCGGATCTGTAGACAAAGAGGGTATTATAGCCTTGTTCAACTGTCTCAAATCGATAATGTTAAAAACAGCTATGAAATTTTTCTTATCGATGCTATCTATCATATTATATCCAATGTATTATTGCCTATATGCCTTTAAATAAATATATATGCAGTTTAATTTCCAATCGCACTTATAACTATTGAGGTTTGCGTGTATTCATTGCCCATTCTACCATTGTCTAAGCACGCGTGTTAAGCCGGAACATAAATCAACTCCATTTCAACTTTGATTCGCATCCTTTACGCCGTCAAGGGGTGAAGAACGAAGAACTTACACGCGAATTTTTAAAGACTACAGAGATTTTCAGCCTCCAAAAACTTCACCCAGGTCTGAGGCATCTAGGTTCCTTACAAAAAAATTGTCGTTACAATCGTACCGTTCTTGTGCTACGGAATCTTGATGTGTCTGTCCCTTAACGGGCAGACCCTCCGCTGACCTTCGATAGCGGAGGAACATGGGACTGACGAGGACCGGAGCCCCGAAGCCACAGCTCAGCACCATCGCCAATATCAGGAACAGAAACTGTAACAGGCGCCAATACGAATTACTTAGTCTATACTCTTGTGCTATTTACTGAAGAGACTTAGTCTGTTGGGCTCCAACACAA